TGATTAATACCAACACATCCGGTTACTCGTGATTAATACCAACCACATCCGGTTACTCGTGATTAATATCACCACATCTGGTTACTCGTGATTAATATCACCACATCTGGTTACTCGTGATTAATATCACCACATCTGGTTACTCGTGATTAATATCAATACATCCGGTTACTCATGAGTAATATTACCACATCACCTACATAAGAAGCTCCACCACACGGTCAACATTATTCATTATTATTTTTAACTCTCAATAATTGAGAAGCTTTGTTTGTAGAACATATACATAATCACGTTTTCTCACTATCAGCTAACTTAGCCATAAGTAAGCAGCATATCTGTTGTTTTTAAATTTAGGTATACAAGTTTGGAAAAGTGTGAAAATAAGATTAATGATTTAGAAATTAAATAAAATGTAATCAAAGTTGAGATTAGTAGCCCTTTCACAACTGAACAGCTTACTCAGAAATAACTGGCATTTCAGTTAAAAACACTTCATTCAAAAGATAATGCAGAGATTTGGCAAATATACGAAGAAATATGAAACTAGAAAGTAACCCTGTTTTGACTTGATCTGTTTCTCAGAGAAAAAGTAATCTGACTTGATCTGTTTCTCAGAAGAAAAAGTAATCTGACTTGATCTGTTTTTCAGAGAAAAGTAATCTGACTTGATCTTGTTTTCAGAGAAAAAGTAAACTGACTTCATCTGTTTCTCAGAGAAAAAGTAACCTGACAATATTTATTATGTGGGTGTTGAAATTATATGAATAAATGTGGCTAAGCCCATACATTTGTTTTCAAACAGATCACATGCCCCCACAAAACTGTGTTTAAATCATTTTATCAAACACTAGTCAATCAATATACTTGTATTGTTAAACTGGCTGTTTGAATAATTTTCAAATATTTTACTGTGATACACAGAAACATGAGTTGTTTTTTTTACTGGAAAATTACTAAGTAGCATGACAGAATTTCATCCTTCTTTCATAGTATTACGACAGCGGAAGTCACGCGACACTGGGAGCATGCACATTGGAGTTTCTAGAAGGATCATGACTTATCGAGGAACCTCACGAATGTCCCAGTGTTTGCTAGATGCCCTCTTTTTTAGTATATAAACCAGAGATAGATTGAAGAGATAGATAATTGAGTCAAGCGAAAAGTAGGCACCGTAAGTAAAGTGTGTGAATCACTGTGATTTATAGCATGTGCTATAAAGGTTGTTAAGTTTAAAGTAACTGTGGAAATTCTGTGTATTACAAAGTTGTATCAAGAAAGAATAAACTAGTTTTAATTAAGAAAGGACTTGTATCGCTGAAGTTACTCGGAAAGAATTTATACCAGAAATTAACAAACGAGCAGATACGTAACAGTAGTTAAATATTTTATCCTTCTTACATTATTACAGATTTCATCCTTCTTACATTATTACAGATTTTATCATTCTTATGTTATTACATAGCTTATCTGTCTTTACTATTAAAGACTATGTTTTCAACAGTGATGTAAATAACTTTATTTGGTTTTCTTTCAGATCAAAAATATGCAAAAGTCTTGTAGTCATTAATTTTATTTTTATACACAAGTCCTTCCTTTTGTTTCAAATTTGTTTTTATCAACAAAAACTGTATAATCAACATTTCTGGAGAGTTGTTATTAACTGAATAAATACAATTCTCAAAACCATTCTAATTTATAAACAACAACATGTAACAAATAGCTGTTTTTCAGATTCTATCATTAAATGATTTTCCAATATTCATATATAACACAAAATAGCAATCTTTACCTATATCAGAAGGAAGGTCTTCCTCAACGTCAATACTGATTACGGAATGTGTTACATCATCATCAGCCATCGAGTCATTTCCAGAAGCCATGTATCAGTACCTGTGTAAGATAAATAATATAAGATAAATAACGTAACATAAATAATACAAGATAAATAATGTAACATAAATAGTGTAAGATAAATAATGTAACATATGGTGTAAGATAAATAATATAAGACAAATAATGTAACATAAATAATACAAGATAAATAATGTAACATAAATAGTGTAAGATAAATAATGAAACAAATAGTGTAAGATAAATAATATAAGATGAATAATGTAACATAAATAACGTAACACAAATAATATAAGATAAATAACATAACACAAATAATATAAGATAAATAACGTAACATAAATAATGTAACAAATGGTGTAAGATAAATAATATAAGACAGATAATGTAACATAAATGGTGTAAGATAAATAATATTAGACAAATAATGTAACATAAATGGTGTAAGATAAATAATATAAGACAAATAACGTAACACAAATAATACAACATAAATAATGTAACATAAATAGTGTAAGATAAATAATGTAACAAATGGTGTAAGATAAATAATATAAGACAGATAATGTAACATAAATGGTGTAAGATAAATAATATTAGACAAATAACGTAACACAAATAATATAAATAATATTAGACAAATAACGTAACACAAATAATATAAGATAAATAACGTAACAAATGGTGCAAGATAAATAACATAAGACAGATAATATAACATAAATGGTGTAAGATAAATAACATAAGACAAATAATGTACCATAAATGGTGTAAGATAAATAACGTAACACAAATAATATAAGATAAATAATATAAGACAAATAATGTAACATAAATGGTGTAAAATAAATAATACAAGACAAATGATGTAATATAAATGGTGTAAGATAAATAGGGTAAGACAGATAATGTAACATAAATGGTGTAAGATAAATAATATAAGACAAATAACATAACACAAATAATATAAGATAATTAACGTAACACAAATAATATAGGATAAATAACGTAACATAAATGGTGTAAGATAAATAATATAAGACAAATGATGTAATATAAATGGTGTAAGACAAATGATGTAATACAAATGGTGTAAGATAAATAATGTACAGTTCTTAATGCTATTAGCATGGTATACTTGAGATCTAACGAATTCTAGCAGTGGTTGTCAAATACAAGCCTACATTTCAATGCTGAATCATGTGGAACATTAATGTACTGACCACTACATCATTGCTAAAGTAACCCTTAATGATATACACATCAGTTGTGAGAAACAGCAATGAAAATCATACAGAAACCAATGTGAGACCTCACTAATCTTATATATATACTTTCTAGAGATGATTATTAGTCCCCAATGATAAAACTGATGGTATGAAAAATATATAATTTAATAATTAATGCTAAAATAAACCAAGAAAAAAAATTAACTTTAAATTTTAAAGGGATTATCTGCTACAATAAAACACAACAATCAAATGATACGAAACTGGAAAAGATAAAAAAAAAAAGATTTAGAAAAAAACCATTTCAATATGAGATTCAAAGAGTTCAAGGGAACAAGTTACAAACCAAACTGAATGAATTTCTAGCAGAAATAACTTTAAGTTTACTTCAAAGTTCCTCTACTACTTTGTAGAACTTCCATTACTCATCTCTAGAAAAGTCTTAATTGACTGCCTCAAGGTTTTGTTGTTTCCTCAGGATGAGACTGATCGACTGCCTCAAGGTTTTGTTGTTTCCTCAGGATGAGACCGATCAACTGTATCTAGTTCGAATTCAATGACGAGGAACCCACTTTGAGACTAATAATGGCTGGAGACGGCTTAAATGGATAATGAAGAAAACTTTAATATAAGTTTAACATGACAGCAAATGTACAACGTTTCAACAAGGTTTTGTACCTG